TGACACTTCCGGGTTGGCTTCATTTTTCAGGGCCGGTTGCTACGTCCATCTTTTATACAGTCTATGATTAAAACGCTGCCTCCCCAAGCCCCGCCCCTCACCTGAGCCCCGCCCGCACGGTCTTCCAGCAGCAGGTGGTAAAGACTCGCTGTCAGCTTGTTGTCAGTGACGCCTTGACCAAGGCCTCGGTTATCATCCTGCTGCAGCCGCCGGTCCAGCACCACCTCCAGCTCACCTGCACAGGTAACAAAGGTGACACGAATACTAATAATGGCAACGCATACGTTTTATACAGCGCTTTTTCATAACCTCACAGATGCTTCATAACACAGGAACAGAAGAGAAGAAGATGAGCTCTGGGAGTTTTCTGTCAGCAGCTGCTTCAAAGAGAACCGGTGACGCTTTGATCAAGACCCATATGGTCCTGATCACCAACGGACAGAACATCTGTCAACAGGCAGCGTGTAGAACGAAAAATACTAAAAATACTTATTAACATACAAATCAGCTGCAGTCAGAGCGCCGAGGCAGGTGATCTGCTGACTCACCTGGTCGGAGCGACGCCACCGCCTGGCTCTGAGCTGCCAGCAGCGACACGCGACTCGCCGAGTCCTGCAGAAACGCCGCCGAGCTCATCGGGTAAAAGTTTGCCTGCAGAGGGAGCTTCGCCAGAGTCCGACGCTGCTGCATCTGCACCAATAGCCAATCAATAGCTAATCAATTACCAGTCACTAATCAGCCAATAGAAAATCAATAACCAGATGGTTCATGGTGTCTGGAATCAACACATGACACCACAGTAATAGAAGGATCCGACTGGTCGGTTCCGGACCTGGAAACCGTTGAGGTCGGAGTAGAAACGGTTGCCGTTGGCAACGTCACTGACAAGTCGCATGACAAGCTCGCGGTTGACCTCTGACCTGATGTCCACCATGTTGGAAATCTCCAGCGACCTCCCAGCATGCCCTGGGGCAGAGACAGCAGGTGATTTATCACAACATCTTATGTAAAGACAGACAAATAAAATAACTAAACATGAATGCTGGTAAGAAACAGATTTTAAATCCTACGTTAGCTTTGTTATTTATAATAAAATGCATGAAGACACATTCATAAGTTATGGTGAACTGTAGATGAAATATGAATATATGAAATGATGCACACCACGATGACGACAACATGATGTTCAGCTGTTATGACACAAAGTCATTGTTTATAGGCAGGGTTTGGAACCACCAACAAACAGCTAACAGCTACTTATGCTAACAGTGTTGCTCTGAGTGGCTGCAGGCAGTATGCTAACAGCTAACAGTCCTAACAGCCACCAGTGCTAACAGCTACTTGTGCTAACAGCCACCAGTGCTAACAGCTAACAGTGCTCGAGGGCTGACAGGGACACACGTAGTGTGAACAATGGTTACCGTCCAGGTGAAAGAGGCGAACTGTGTGTGTGAAATGGCGGAAACATGAGGTGATGTCAGAGAAGATCGGACCTCTGGAGACCCGAACCAGCGGAGGCTCTGACGACGAATAGGGCTGCAGGACGACAGAGCCACACTGAGTCAGAGGACAGAGAGAGAGACAGAGTGGTGGTGAGGTCCTGGTCTCACCTGAGGCCCCTCCTCTCCAGGTAGGAACAGGTACGCTCCGCTCTTTTCCTGGTTGGCTCCGGTTCTGGTTCCGTACCACAGAAACTGGACCTGCAGCTGACGGAGCAGACCAGACTGCAGACGGAGCTTCTGGATCCAAACAGAAATAGTCTCCGATCAGAAACTTTATTTGGACAAATGTATGAATGTCTCCTAGAAACAACATGAACCAACAATAACGTGATCAGTAACTGGATCAGTATTGACTGTTCGACACTGCAGAGGTTTATTCTGAAGCATCAACTGTTCATGACTGATTACTAAACAGTAAAACAACTCTTTGTCTCATTAGTCTATGTACCAGTGGTTCTGATCAATTCGTTACCAGCTATTAAGCTATTCTAATCATCCATTCATCAGTTTGAGTCATTTTTAAATGAAATCCAGTCTGAATGTTTTCTGGTTTCTTTCCTCTGTGACAGTAAACTAAACATTTCTGGACTAAACCAGACGCTGGAGGAACTCTGATCCACGTTTTTACCCTTTTAGACCAAACAGCTGAAGGACTGATGCAGAAAACAACAGTTTTGATTCATGAAAATGATGTAACCGATGAATATATTTGGTATGCTGTGTTTTTGACACTTTTATTTTGAAGGGTCAGACCTGCAGCAGGCCCGTCTCCCAGGAGCTCCACAGCTGGATGTGTTTGTTGCTAAGCAACAGGGGGGCGTTGGCCTCAGGGGGGTGGGACACCTGAAAATGCTCATTGTGGATGGTTGGTGGGTCGCCACGACGATGGATGGTGTAGCGTGCCCGAGGGGTGGAGCCAGCCGCCGCTTTGGTCACATGATAGACGACGAGTGACAGCGGAGGAAGTTCATCTGCGAAGGAGAGCTGCAGCGAGAGAACACACAGAGTATCAATGAACCAGTCACTGATCTGATCAATAAACCCTTCAATGATCTGGTCGTCACCTGAAACGCCTCTGTGGAAACTTGGCTTGGCTCCGCCCACACCGCAGAGATCTGAGCAGCCATTGGTCGGCCTGTTTCTGCATCGACGACACGAGCATCTGGAGAGTCGACGGTGACGCTGATGACGGAGGTACGGAGCTGCTCGGTCGGGTTAAAGACGATCAATGACCTACATCACAATCAGTAATCACTACACCTGACTGTTATTGTTGTCATTAAAGATTTAAAAGCCCCGCCCCTTTACCTGGGCTCGGCACTGAGCGTAAGCGTCGTCTTCTGCGGCAGAGCGTCCTGTGCCCAGATCACATCGTCCTAAAAACAACGTCACATTAAACTCACAACTGTGATCCTGCACTTACAGCCGGGACGGAACCACACCTGTTCAGCCTTCACCAGGTGAAGCCTCTGGTCATTCTGACCAGTCAAACCACAGAGCCCAGTTTAAATGGTCAGAAATAGTGAAAATGATGTAATTTGTCCTGAAGGATGCTGATGTTTGTGATCAGGAAGTTCAAGCTTCTACACATTCAGCTATAAACTAGACACACAGACAGCTGATAGGACAGACGAGCTGGGTCACAAGTCACCATTTGCAGGAAGGGTTTTGATTGGTCATGGTGGTACTGGCTCTTGTCCAGTAGGAGCAGCCAGTGGGCGGAGCTCTGCAGCACCTGGCGCAGGTTCAGGATGGAGTGAAACAACCTGTAAAACATGGATTTGTCCTGTTAGTCTTTTATCTCCAGCAGATTCTTTATTTTAAAGTTATTGTTTTGGCCTTTATTGATAGAGCAGTGAGAGAGAGAGACGGGAAAGTGAAGGAGAAGAACGAGGGGAGGACGTGTGGGACAGGGCCATGAGCGGGACTCGAACCCACGACCTCCACATGGGGACTGGAGCCCTGCACATGGGACGCCAGCTCCACCAGGTGAGCTGCAGCAGCGCCCTCCAGCAGATTCTTTACAGCAAATCAGAAATAGGTTTGAACAGAAGTGTTGTTCTGTTGTTAAAACACTGAGGACTGCATCTCTTTGATCACTGAACAAAGCAAACACACCACTGACCATCTACACAGTGAGGACACGCTTGTTAAAATGGAAGGATGGGAAGTGACGTTAGCCACTAAATCTAAATGACAGGGTATGGTTGGAGGCTAATGCTAAACGCTAACTGCTCACACTAAGCACGGTGGTACCTTACCGTTGCCAGCAGCGACACCATCCTTCAACAGAGAGCATGGAGGAGAAAATGAGACAGAAACAGGCTCAACAGGCTAACGAGTTCATGTGCTACGATGCTAAAACTGATGTGTGACACTGACTTGAGGAACACAGACAAGCAACAGGATAAAAATACCAACAAAATGAAATCAGGCAAGAGTCAGATTAAAACAGACGGCGTCAGTAAAAATATGTGCAAATTACTCAAACCTTTTAGCCTTTTCTGCGCTAACATGCTGACATTTATCTTATCTTAACATCTTATGTTGACAACAGGCAGGATTTCTATTAAACTAGATTAATCTCTGTTCACTGTGCACATGCTAACGGTACGTATGCTAACAGACTAATTCCCATGTCTATCTGGGGAAATCAGTTCAGAACATTTGGGCCACTTCCTACATTTAAGGACAGTCTAACGCTAGCAGTTTTAAAGGTTTTCTTAAAACTCCAGACTAAAGGTAAAAGCTAACTCACCCTTTGCTAGCACACTGGCGCAGCAGGTTTATTTTGTCAACAAATTATTTTCACTTTGACTTTCACTAACATGCTAACGTGAAGTTTTCACAGTACTTGTTTTTTCTGCACATGCTAACATGCTAACATCATGCTTTTGCCGAACAGTATTTTTTTTTAGCCCTATATTAACTTGCTAACATACAAACATGCAGTTTTTACCAAACAGTACTTGTTTTTTTCTGTTACGTGCTAACATGCTAACAGACTAATCGACTCAACATTATTATGTCTTAGCATTTGAACATGCCATCAGGCTAATGTGCTAGCAGGAAGAAGCCACCTGGTGCCATAGTCGACCACCACTGGATCTCGGCCAGTGCCGGTGATGGCATCGTGGTGCTGAAACAGCGCCAGGTTCCGCCTCCCCACCGTCAGGCGCTGAAAGTGTTCACGAGCCGGAAAATCTGCAGCTAGACGACCATCGACACTGAAACGACGCATTTCAGCCAAAGTCAGGCTGAAGAGGATTTCTGTCGCTCTGCCAGAGACAAACACAAACTCAGATGAAACACTTCACCCTGATTGGACGGACATCACCGTTGTCACACACGGTGCTACCTGAGTGTCGCCTGCAGCGTCCGGTCCAGGCGTTTGTAAAACGGGCGTGACGTGAAGAATCCGCTCCAGTAGTGGTCGTCCCGGTCGGCGTACGTAAAGAAGTCTCCACGAAGAGTTGGTAGCGACGTTCCAGCGGTACTAAGACGGCGATGTAGAGCGTCAAAGTAATCGGCCAGAGTCCCGAAACTAGCCTGAAAACAAACAGCAGAAGAAGTGGTTTCAGAAGCAGCAGCAGTTTCTTGTTTAATTTTTCCTAATTTTTCACAGCAATCTAAAGTCCTCTATGGAACCAGAACCACATGAAGAAGGACCGAGAACTCAGAGATGTCTGCTGTCAGCAGGACTCAGAACGATAAAGAAATTATGAAAATGTAAAAGCCAGGAACCAACATGTCCAACATGTTTCCAGATGTTAAACCCTGGAGCTCATGTCGTCTCCTCGTCCTACAGATGTTGAACTATCTCCATGTTCCAGATGTCTCCTCTCTGCTCATCAGATGTAGAAAGATGTTCCTCCATCAGTAGAAAGATGTTCC